ATAGGTTGTCCAGGCCTTCTCACTGACACTCACATTTGGGGGGTCCAGATCAGTCCCATTCTGGCCTCCCCACTGTCGGTCTGGGGTCCAAGAGCACTCCCCTGTTCAGATCAGCTGTCTCTGCTGGTTTTGCCAGCCCATTCTTTGCCAATTTGCTCATCATTCCTCTCTCTCTGTCACTGGGTTCCTTGGGTTCAGTTCAGTGCTTAGTTGTGTGTTTGCCTCTGCTTCCATCAGTCCCAGGATGTAGGCTCCCGGATAGTTATAGACATCAAGTTCATTATCAGGAATGGGCATTCGACTATTGCTTAGCTTGCCAATTGATGTTATACCTTTAGATCACTCGAGGTCACTCTAGTGCCTGATCTGTCTTCGATCCTATGATTCCCTCTTCCCCCTATTCTACCCCCACCCCTCAACTTCCTGTTCCCCCATGACCAACTCCCTTCCTCTTTACCCCCTCTATTCTTCCCAGGTCCCACTACCCCCCCTCGCCCTGTTCCCCATCCATTCAGAGGATCTTGTCTCCATCCTCTTCTCTTGGGTACTATGCATATATGCATATCTTTTAGGTTCTTTCCTGTTTCCCAGACTTATCTGTGGAAGTGCAGACTGGCACTATCCTGATCCATATCTAAAATCCATATATGAGTGAGTACATACCATGTTTGTCTTTTTGCGACTGGGTTACCTCACTCAGGATGGTTTCTTCCAGTGCTATCCATTTCCCTGCGAATTTCAAGATTCCATTGTTTTTTTCTGCTGAGTAATACTCCATTGTGTAAATGTACCACATTTTCTCTATCCACTCTTCAGTTGAGGGGCATCTAGGTTGCTTCCAGGTTCTGGCTATTACAAACAATGCTGCTATGAACATAGTGGAGCAGATGCCCTTGTTGTATGAACCTGCCTCATTTGGATAAATGCCTAAGAGTGGAATTGCTTGGTCTAGTGGTAGATTAATTCCCATTTTCCTGAGGAATCTCCATACTGATTTCCAAAGAGGCTGTATGAGTCGGCATTCCCACCAGCAGTGGAGGAGTGTTCCTCTCTCTCCACATCCCCTCCAGCATAAATTGTCTTCGGTGTTTTTGATTCTAGCCATTCTGACAGGAGTTAAGATGGTATCTCAGAGTTGTTTTGATTTGCATTTCCCTGATGGCTAAGGATGTTGAGCACTTTCTTAGGTGTCTCTTGGCCATTTTAGCCTCCTCTACTGAGAATTCTCTATTTAGCTCTGTACCCCACCTTTCAAGTGGATCCTTTGGTGTTTTGGAGACTTGTTTCTTGAGTTCTTTGTAAATTTTGGAGATTAGCCCTCTGTCAGATGTAGGGTTAGTGAATATCTTTTCCCATTCTGTGGCCTGCCTTTTTGTCTTTTTGATTGTGTCCTTTGCCTTACAGAAGCTTTTTAGTTTCAGAAGGTCCCATTTGTTAATTGTTGATCTCAGTGCCTGTGCCACTGGTGTTATGTTTAGGAAGTGGTCTCCTGTACCAACTCGTTGAAGAGTATCTCCCACTTTCTCTTCTAAAAGTTTCAGTGTGGCTGGATGTATGTTGAGATCTTTGATCCATTTGGACTTAAGTTTTGTACAAGGCGATAAACATGGATCTATCTGCAGTCTTCTGCAGATGATATGATAGTTTACATAAGTGACCCAAAAAACTCTGCAAGGTTACTCCTAGAGCTGATAAACACCTTCAGCAATGTGGCAGGATACAAGGTAAACTCAAAAAAATCAGTGGCCCTATTATATACAGGTGATGGTTAATCTTGACTGGATTTGGACATCAACTATGACACCTGTCCCTGGGCAGCTCTTAGAGGGCATTTCCAGGAAGGAGTAAGGGCAAATCTTCAGGCAGCAGTCCAGATATGAGGCAGTCCTATTCTGCCTGCCCATCTTTGCATCTACTCTGTGGCTGTGGCTACTGCTGCCATCCAGCACTTCTTTTAGCCTTTCACAAAGTGGACTAAGGTCAGTGGTTCTCCAGGAATCCTCCAGCCTTCAGCAACTGCTGGGTTCTCAGCCTCTCCGGTGTGCGGTCATTGGTGAGACTACCCAGTCCCTCCTGTGTAATAAATCCCTTTTCATAATTGTCTGTCCTATTCCTCCTGAGGATTCTGACACCCTCTTAGTCCTTATCTTCAGAAGCATGTCCCCTGAAGCCTCTCCCACTTCTGGGGGAGAGCAAGAAATCTGGTATTTTAAAATTAGATTTCAACCCAAACAAAAGTATGATCAGAAAATGTGGCAGGAGGCAGGATCTGGTGTTGACCAAGGACTGGCAAAGATTTTCCATAAGAGCAGTGCTTTTTTTTGGGGGGGTTACGAGACAGGGTTTCTCTGTATTGTTTTGGAGGCTGTCGGTCCAGCCTGGCCTCAAACTCACAGAGATCCACCTGCCTCTGCCTCCCGAGTGCTGGGATTAAGAGCAGTGCTTTTTAAATGAGTGTGTGGTGACTTTGATAGGCAACCTGGTAACCTAACCCTTTCCTCTCCATTATTGTTGCTAAGGGGAATGTTCACACAAATCCATTAAACACTTTTAATTTACTCTGTCTTGTTTTTCTGTTAAAAATTAGCTTCTGAAATGTGAGATGTTGGGCTGGGCATGTAGCTCAGTGCCAGAGTCTTTACCCAGCATATTGGAGGGCCTGGGTCCAATCTCCAGCACCACAAAGCAAAAACTGCAAACATAAGCAAACTGAAATGAACATTGGGGGGGAGCTTCTAATTCTTGAACAGAATCTAAAGTAGATGAGCCTTACTGTTAAGGATTTTAGGAATAACAACAAATATCTGTTCATCCATTGAAGCCAACACACAGCTAACAAAGTATTAAAAGCAGAGGGACTGGAGGGCAAGACAGGGGTCGAGCTGCAGGGAGCTCAGGGTACTTCCTACTCAGTTCTGCAAACCTAAAACTTCCCTGCAAACTGAAGTCTATTTAAAAAGCAACCTGTGCACTAATCTCATTTCCTTATTTTCTAAAGACATGTACCTACTTTCTGAAGTACACCACAAACACAGATACAATATAGACATTACACAGATAGACAGACAGACAGACGGACGGACGGACGGTTGATGAGTTTCTGTGACTCTGACCATACAGAGTGTCAACCTTGCTTACCTGGCTCCACACATCATTCGTGGTTCCTGTAGTGAGTTTAATCCATATGAACTATACAGGTTAATTTGATATGCACAAGTCTGGGTAGCAAAGGATCCAGATGAAATTGCTAACAAATTACATTACTAAAAATATCTCAAATCTTGTGCCACCCTATATACCCTTTGGTATACACTCAACCTGTCACATAACTTAAAGATCTGTTTTCATAGCTTCCTGAGTCAGTATAGGTGTGGGTTATTAAGCATGTGTGAAGGACAAAGGCAGATGTTATGGATGTTTTCTTTATGATTTTCCATCTTTATTTTTTGAGATGGTCTCTCACTGAACTTGGAAATTCAGTTAGGCTAGGCAGCCAGTAACGCACGTTTCTGCCCTTCCCCAGGTTACAGGGGCATGCTGCCATGCCTGGCCTTTTATAATGGTTCTAGAGGGCTCAGCCTCACGCCTGCTTGTCACGAACTTTACCATATGAGCCATCACCCCAGCCCCACAGATCCCCACAGCTCTCAATAGAGAGCAGTGTTATTATAGGCACCTTGGTCTGTATTTGACCCATCTGACCTCTTGTCCTTTGTGGGAAACCTAGAACTTTATTCTAGTAAACAAAATCAATATAAGTCAATGGCACGAGAACATAGATGGGCATGTCCACTCAAGTCTGTCAAAGAGACTGGGCTTGGAAGTACTGGAGTGTTAATCCAGGGCCATTTTTAAGAGGAGGGAAGCTATTCTGTAGGAATAAAGGTTGAACCAAGTACACAGAAAACGAGAGCAGGGGCAGGAAAGAGTTCTGAGCAGATATGGTAGGGAGTGGGGGAGCAGGAGAGGCAAGGAAAGGATTCAACAAAGCCCCTATGCCTTTCCATGGAAGCAAACACTCTTCAAACTGCATGAAAGGAATCTACTGTGTGCCATTAACGGGACTCATGCCTTTTTTCCCTTCTCCAGACAGGTTTCTTTGTAGTTTTGGAGGCTGTCCTGGAACTCGCTCTGTAGACCAGGCTGGCCTCAACTCGCAAGAGATTCACCTGCCTCTGCCTCCTGAGTGCTGGGACTAAAGGCTTGTACCACCACCACCAGGCCCAGGACTCATGCTTTTACAGAAGACACAGACAAACTTCAGAGTGGCTTTAGTCTTGTGCACTGAATTTTCATTGCATTAGTAAAAGCACCTGTGTACATCTGAGTATGACAGTTTTAATTTTCTTTGGTAGGTGCTTTGGAAGATTATTGGGAAAAACTAAATATTTGATGAGACCAAAGTGTTTTTATGTAACAGATGAAGTCATGAGTGGAATGCAGAGGCCCAGGCGTGCTCAGTCATCCTTAGGAAAGCACAGACTTCCCCAGTGGTGCTGCCACTGAGGGTTTTACTCCACACTGCCTGCTTTCTGAGCGGCCACAGGGTCAGGCGCAGGCATTCTTTTAAGAGTGGCATAAAGGACAGGGTAATGGTGTAGTCAACATGCTTCAACACAGAAACTATGAGGAATATTAAAACTCCCACAAACAGAAAAATCTAGATGCTTTAATTGATTAAAAGAGGCTATTTCACAAGATAATCAGGAATATACTCTCCATAAGAGGCAGATGGACAGGCTATTCAATTTGCCAATAGAAAGGCCAACAAGCTAGTTTCACCAATTGAGAAAATGTCCCCTCCCCATTGGCCTGAAGGTAAGCAAGTGGGACATCTTCTTGATTGATGACTGAAATGTGTCCTTACCGTGTCAGACTTCATTCTAGCTTTCATACCAAAATCAGTGAAAATGTTTCAATAAGACACAATGAAAACCAAAAATTGATTTACAAAACTCTACAGAACAAGCCAGAAGAATATAAACAAGCAAAGCTAAATGTGCTGTTGTCTGATCATAAAATATTTATTAAGGAATACTCTTAAGGAATATAGTGAATATAAAATTTAGGGTCACAATGTGAAGCAATTTCAATCTTCTCAAAAGTCAGCACAGCCCTCATAATCTGCAGATGGAAAACAACTAGTAAGAACTACTAAAAGCAGCCAGACTACAACAGAAGTGGCTTTTCATGAACATTTACAACTAGAGCTTCAGACACCTGTCATTGCAAAACCACACCACATTACACTAATGTAGCAACAATGCATTCATATTGTTCTCATTAGTCATTAGTAGTCAATTTGCATAAAACACCAGAAGAAAACCACAATGGAGATCACAAATGAGTTAAAAACTGAACCTGTTCTTGTATAACATACACTGTGATGGAAATAGACACATTAAAAAAGTATTATGCATATTACAGAAGCTGTGTTCATTCTGATAATCTCATCTGTCTTCTTTCCCAGAAAAGCAAATTACAAGAAACAGGCACAACTAATATTTGGGAGGCAGTGTGTAGCTAAAATCTCATTTAACTAATTAATCAATTTTTTAAATCCCCATAAATCTTTTCTGTCCTGAGGTAGTTGCAAAATAAATCATAAATTGGGTATGAACTACAGTGGAGGCTTTGACTCTTCATTCATTAAAATGAGTTGTTACTGAGAAGAACTACCTTTTGATATCGAAAAGACAGTTGAGAATGGGCCTCTTACTACACACACAGGATGGCTGTGGGAAAGAGGAGCAGCTGCTTCCGGATGAGAGACATGGTCCAGCATTGCTTTAACCCTCCCCACTCATTTTAGACTTGGTACTGTCCACGAAGCCATTCAGGAACACAGAAGCAGGCAGATCATCGCCCTTTGCTGTAGCCAGGGAAGAAAAGGTCAAGCAGAGCCTGCAGAGTCTCATTTGGAATCATGACATAATCCTGGCCGAGATCATGCCGGCAAGCAGGGCAGGAGAAAACCTGGGCCTTAAAGGAGCGCTGTAAGCAATCCTAAGATAAAAACAAAAGGAAGTACACACAGGGGAAGAGGGAGGGGATGGCAGGAGGCGGACAGGGGTAAGCATTGAAAGAGGGAGAAAACAATTATGATTTATGGAAAAATCAATAGTTATGTTCTTAACAAAAACTAGTTACCACCTGCTCATTACAAGAGAAAGGTCTAGAATGAACAGTTCTGAATGCCCAAATCTGCACCATACTGTCTATAGTCACAGCTTTCCTAACACATGCTGTGAAACTTCAGGTAAGCTGAAGTAGCTTGTGGTTCAATTTCCTCACCTTCTAAAGTGAGTGTTACAGACTAGGCATGCTTCCCACAACTCTAACCTTCATGGTTGGATTTATTCCTGCAAGAACCCTGAAGGAAAATTGGTTCTGCTGCTCAGAGTTAAAATACACTATGAAATCATTAAACATGATAGGTCCTCTGAAGTGTGTCTAGTTGGACTAAATTCACTTGAATACATATATGTACAAGATGCTTCCATTTCACAAAGGCAACTAAAGTTCTGGAGTTAGATCAGTGCACAAAAATCACACTTGGTACAACGAGCTTCTAAGCCTGTCTTGGCTAAAGCTTGATTTTCTTCTTCAAGTGCACTGACAACACAATACTTAATTCACCTGAGCAGCCTGCCAGAAAGAACTTACTAAACACATGTAATCTCTCAGTTTGCAGTATAGTGTGTAAGACACTCCCTATTATAGATGAGAATTGCTGCTATTATGAAATTTTAAATTTCATTTACCATCAAGATGTAAATAAAAAAGTTTTCAAACTAGTAAAGGGCCCATAACTACCCTTCATGGGAAAATGGTTGTTCATATGCTAAAACAGGTGGTACCCATTGTGCCATCAGACCAGGACAGAAAGGGAAAGTGGCACTGTACTCACCTTGCAGACATTGTGAAAGCACTCTGTTGTGACAGGCTGATACACCAGTTCCTGGCAGCACACACACATAAAAGACTGTTCCAGTTTTTTCAGAAAATTCTACAATGGTGCCCAACAGGAGAAAATAAGAAAAGATTAACAGCTCAAATATACTAGTGAAAATCTTTGTCACATTTAACATGCTTTCGACTAAGAAAATCAAGTAGTGACTTCTTAAGATAAAGTGATTTAAATGAAAGAAACTAAGGAAACTTCATCAAAGTCCCTCAGAACTTGCAGTAATAATTATTATATTTGGTTTGTTCCTGTTTTCTTTTGGGTGATGTGTTTAACACAGAGAGAGGTCTTTCCTAGCAGAGTAGGCCACAAACTATTCTTCATTTCTGCATACTTGCAGCTTCTGCAACAGGAATGTGTAACCATTAGCAACTATTTTTGACTTAAGGGGTAGGGATGTGGGGAGTTGAGAGCAGCCAGGTGGTTCAGCAGAAAAGTAGATTGATATCAAACCTAACAACTTGAGACTCACCACTGAGGACCACTCGACATAAAGTGAAAACTAACTCCCATGGGTTAGCCTCTGACCTCCAGAGGTACACCAAGAAGCACACATCCACACAACACACCCCACACCCAATGAAGTGGTACACCACTTGCCCAGCACTGTAAATACAACAGAAGACACGCAGCTCATCACAAGGCCAAGCAGCACTATGTCCTTTTTGTTCTGTAAGCTCCACTGCACAGATCCCAGCAAAATGAAACACACTGGCTGGTCGGTCAGTCTTTCCCTGTAACAAGCTACAACGGTTTTTCTGAAACTAAAACAGCACTAGAGAAAATTCTAATGTTCAGTGTCACAAGGAACCTATTTATCATCCTAAGATTCTGTGTACTATTTTGCCTCAACTTCCAAATCCTGTATTTTCTAGGGGGCAGCATTTATTTAAAATGAAGTACAAGTGCAGACATAATCAAATGATGTCCTGCATCTTCAAAAGCTGTCATTAGTTTCAATTTACCCTGGCGCTCTGTCTCTCTCTCTGTCTCTGTCTGTCTGTCTGTCTGTCTGTCTGTCTGTCTGTCTGTCTCTCTCCTCTCCTCTCTCTCTCTCTCTCTCTCTCTCTCTCTCTCTCTCTCTCTGTCTCTCTGTCTCTGTCTCTCTCTCTGTGTCTCTCTCTCTGTGTCTCTCTCTCTGTGTCTCTCTGTCTCTCTGTCTCTCTCTCTCTCTCTCTCTCTCTCTCTCTCTCTCTCTCTCTCTCTCTCTCTCTCTCTCTCTCTCTCTCTCTGTGTGTGTGTGTGTCCTTCCTTCCTTTCTTTATGAAAAAAGGTCTCACACTATGTATTCCAGGCTGGCCTAGAACTCAGAGATCGGCCTGCCTCTGCTTCCTGTGTGCTGGGATTTAACACATTTACCACCATGCTTGACTTGTTTGTGTCTTAAACTAGAAAAGGGTGGTTTTCAAACAGTCATAAAGGTGATCATCCATTTGGTTTTTAGAGTGATAACAAGTTATTCTTTAAGATTCTTTTTACTAACAGAAAGTAGAAATTAAATTAAATTCAAATTAAAACATCAACAAATGTGACTTTTTTTTTTTTTGGTTTTTATGAGACAGGGTTTCTCTGTATTGTTTCGGAGGCTATCGGTCCAGCCCGGCCTCGAACTCACAGAGATCCGCCTGCCTCTGCCTCCCGAGTGCTGGGATTAAAGGCGTGCGCCACCACCGCCCGGCCAAATGTGACATTTTAAAAGATGTCTTGACACTAAGTGGTATTTTAACGTAGACTATGAAATTCAAGTGAATTAAAAACCATTAATGTGACACATTAAAAGAATATGCCACTACATGTTCACAGCAACCACCAGATGTCAAGTCATAACAGTTGGATGCAGGCATGTCAGGTCTTGTCAAGAGCAGGATATCGATGCCCACACATTCATGCTCACTCAGGTGGCTTTTCCCACAGCAATGTCTGCTACTTTGTCCCATGCCCATCCCTATCTGGAGTTCACTGAAGTTACCTACCACTAACCGGTCATGTCTTTCCCAACAAATCTAACTGTTCACCTAAGTCATGATTAACAACAGATATATTTTAGTCTGGCCCAAGGGAAATGAGTCTGACCTCACACTCTTTATATGTGGGTCCCTTCCCTAAAAAAACAAGTAATACCTTTCACAGAACAAAATCACTATACTCAAGGCTAACCCAAGATAAAAATCACATTTACAGGCAAAGGAAATGGGAGACTTCTGACATAAAGCCAAATAGTAGTTGATAACATTTTCTCACAAACTTAATGCAATAATGTTAATTATCTCTCAACCCAAAAGGCGAAACAATCACAGGAGATCTTCCAGGCTACTTTACTCCCTTCAGACACATGAGACATTTTAGTTGTTGCAAAAGAGGAAATAAAGGCAACAGAGAAAGGAAAAATTAGAAAGAAATGGCAAAATACAATTTACCTAGAGCTCATTCACAGTTACCATTATACTACTTCAGAAGGAAAGATATGAAGCTACATTATATACAAGAGATCAAATTAACAAACAAAACAGCAGATACAATAAATCAAATGTGCAAATAGCTCCCATTTGAAGATTTTGCATTTGGTGAGCTCAGTTTAACATGAAATCCACACATTAACCTTATTAGCTCTCCCTCATCCCTTCTGAAACAAGGTCTATGTAGTCCTGGCTGTCCTGGAACTCGGTATGTTGTAGACCAGGCTGGCCTCAAACTCACAGGCCTCTGGCTCCTGAGTGCTGGGATTAAAGGTATGTACTACCAGGCCCAGCTGCACTTTATTACAAAATCAAGAAGAAAAAAAAACTAGATTAAAAAGTCTTTAAAATTACGTGTACATTTGTATGTGTATGTGAGGTGGGGTATCTGTGCATGTGTGAGGGCAGGTGTCCGTAGGGTCCAGAAGAGGGCAATGGTCCCCCAGAAGACAGAATTACAGGTGGTTGTGACCTGCTCAACCTGGGTGCTAGGAACTGAACTTGGGTGCTCTGCAAGAGTACTACAGACTTAGCCACAGAGCCACCTTTCCAATCAAGACTGGTTTACTTTACTTCAAGGCTGAACATACAAATTTTGAAAATCATACAAACTATTTAAGATATGCTATTATGTATCTTTGAACTATAACAAATCTTTCTGCTGAGTTTTAGATTCGGTTATCTTAGTTTAACCACTTGAAAATTCTTCCCCAAAAGAGCATCTCAATGTAAGTTAATTAGTTCATGATAAAAAAACTAACATCTTAGAAGTTCAAAATAAATTTACAGGTGTTTAAATTTATTGACTCCTGTTAGTTCTAAAATGTGGAGGAAATGGATTAGAAAACTACCTAAGAAACAGTCTGAACTGACTTGAGAAAAATCACTGTTTGCATTTTTATATCAGAACATCATTACTGAAGAAAAACTTTGTACCGGTCCTTCTACAAGAGATGCAAGCACTTCATCCCATAGCTTCTGGTTCTGACAGTCTTCTCTTATTAGGCGTTGCTGCTGAGGGCTGAGTTGGAAAGCCTCTACTGCTTCTGTTGACTCTGATGTCTTCAACACTTTGGAGGCACTTGGACACTCATCTAGGATTATTTATAAACTATGTCAGCAGACTTTCATAGTTCTGCTTAGAAACTGTAACAAAGGTTCACTAGTACCAGCAATGTTTAGAAACAAGATGAGCACATGGAGCAGTGTCCCTGAGTCTAGAATACCTTCTTGACTTGTTGCTGATATGGTTGTAACTCTATTAGAGAGATTTATCCTATCAGAAAACAAACAACCTCCCACAAGTCCCTTTATTATAATTGTTTATGAACCCCCGATTTAGCCTCTCTATATGCCTCTCTTTTTGAAAATGTGCTATTAATATGTATCCTCTACTCTGCTACTTACCATCTGAAGCTGGCCTCTTGGTGGCTTCATTGGTCTGCTTCTTTGACTGTCCCTTTGTCTTCTTCCCTTCCTTATCTGATGGGTAGCCTGCTGGATACTGATGAGGGGAGTAAAAAGACAATGCTGATTTAAATTTCCCAGGGTGGGAGGCTCCAGATCCTGATGGAAAACTTTAGAGCGATGGGGTAGTTGTCTGTACATTCTCCATACTTAAAGCAAATATACACTTAAAGAATTCAAAGAGCAAAAGACAATTAAAATCTCAAATTCTGCTTAAAGCCTTGTAGCTTGGACTGTTTCAAGGCTTTATATTTCGATGACCTTAGTTTCAGATCTAAGAGAAGAAAATCTTCACATGCTTTGTTGGTGATGAAAAATTTAAGAAAAAGAAAAACTAGCCATGAAGTGGGGATCAAACATGTAGCACAGGAAAGGATATTCAAATAGACAAGATGAAAGTTGTGGGTTCAATCTTAAAAAACTGAGTGCCAAATTTCTCATCTCCCAAAAGTATGGGCTGGAAGGAGATTTTAGAAACCTAAATGGAACTAAATTAATGTTGTATTGACAATCAGAGAGCCTCTATGGGTCTGAGCTAGGTCCTCTGCATATAAGTTATGACTGTAGCTTGGTGTCCTTTCAGGACTCCTAACAGTGGGAGTGTGTGTGTGGGGGGGGTATCTGACTCTTTTGCCTGTTCTTGGGACTCTTTCCCCCTTCTCCTCCTACTGAGTTGTCCCATCCCAGACCTGATATGAGGGTTCTGTGTCTTGTCTTACTGTAATTTGCTATGACATGTTCAGATGATATCCTTGAGAGACTTGCTCTCTTTTTGGGAAATGGAGGAGTGGATTTGAGGAAAAGAAGACGGGATGTGCATGCGTTGGAGGGACTGGGAGGGATGAAGGGAGGGGAAACTATGATCAAGATGTAATGTATGAGAATAATTAAAAGAGAGAAGAATTAAAAACTTAAAAAGCAAGTGTGTGTGTGTGTGTGTGTGTGTGTGTGTGTGTGTGTGTGTATTCTGCTTTTCACTAACAAGTCCAGCAGTTTTTCCCAGCATGGTCACATGGTAGCATGATAACCAGGAAGCCACCTCCTATATTGTTACCTTCTGCATCCTTCTATACTCTTTACCTCTCAGGCTACTGACCCACTGATACGTGTACAATGTTAAAGGCGCAGACATGACTGTACATTTTATAACACATGAACAGTGCAGACCAAAAGGATCTAACCTGCAATCGCAGACACAGTCTCCTTGATCGTTCTATTCCTTCTGAGGTCCAAGGAGCAGGTTCAACATCATCTCTTCTTAAAAGATAACGCCAAACCAAAAAGCCATGGCTGGATGAAATCTCTGGCCAGTATTTCACTACCTGTATCATAATATTTCAGGATTACATTGAAATCTAAATCTAATTACAACACCATCACATTAGTAGTTTAAATAGATCTGCTATAATTAAATGCAACTTCAGAAGACTAGCTTTGCTATAAGAACCATAAATTAGTCAATAATATTATTAACACATTGTTATGTGCTTAAGATAGTTCTCATAAGGATATAACTATAAATTTAACATAGTAGCAAATTAACAGAGTTTTGCAAATTAGGCAGAGAAAAATGGTGGTAGCTGGTTTGTTTCTTCTGTATCCAAGAACATGAATACGTTTTTAATGCTATAACATTATGTATTCTGCCTTGAAAACTCTATTGTAATTATTAAAATTAAAAGTATTTTAAAGATACATAGTACTAGTCAAGATATATAATGGTCAAATTAGTACATGATTTTATTATTCATACTACATAATAAATATAGAAATTGTGGGTCTAGAGTGGAGTGCTAGCCCAAACAATTTGTGGATTAGAGCCCCTCAGTGCCAAACAAGAAACATACAAAAAGAAAACCACCTGGGCCCAAATTATGGCTCTGCCTTAGGAACTTCAAAGCCTCTTTTCAAAATCTTGAAATTAGGAGTTCATTCACTTTGTCTATCTTTTACATTTCTAGGAGTAGAAATGCCAACTGAGTTAGCCTGTCCTTTCTCTAGCCCACCCAGAGAACTTCCCTTTGGTAACCATGTCTTAAAATCCCCAGAACGACCAAGGAGATGTCATGCCAGATAGAGCACCTTATAAATGCCATCATATCTGTTGCCTTCTTCTGGAGCATACTTGCTGATCTTCCTCCCTTTAAAACTGCGTATCACTCTGACGGGCTTACCAGCTCTCCAATTCCGAGACTCTGCTCCAATTTTATCATCCAATGGAGCGTCACAGTTTAGGGCCAATGCCCTAAAAAATAAAACAAAGTCTTTATACCAAGCAATCTTTCTTCAAGTGTATAGCTGAGTCATTAACTCATTAAAAGGTAAATTGTGCCTTACCTGACGATTAAGATTCTATGATTCTTTCCATATTATTCCAGACAATAGGATTATGCTTTCCCCCACCAGCAGAGAAGACAAATCAGTTTTCTGATGTCACCCCCAAGCCAGAGGATTGGTTCTCAGATAGCCTGTAGGGTTCTTCTGAAAGTAATAACATCTGTGCCACGTATAATAGAAAATAACTAGAAATACATGGAATCTGCTTAAAATAATGTTTGTTGAGAAAAGGGAGAATGGTGGGAAACTAAAGCAAGTAACTGCTTTAATCGTTAATTTTTGATGAAATGAGGTATATTTCTGGAATAATGTAGAAAGAATCCAGAAAAATAAATTTGTCAGCAAGGTACAAATGGCTTTTCTAGATTTTTCCACATTCCAAACAGTAGAAATTCTGAAAAGTCTAAAGGATATTAAGAATAAGTGTGACATGAGCATATTCTCTGAAAACCTCCACAAAAGGATAAATTTAAGTGCATCAAAATGCTGGGGAAATCATGACAGTGAAGAAAGGGATTGTTATGGTTTATTGATGACACACAGCCAAGACTGTAGAAAGGAGCATGTCTTGGTTAAAGCTCCCTTTAGCATGCAGTTGTAAGTCAGTGAGTAGACTGGATGTTGTAAGAACTACTGAGGAATATCTATTTCTAAAAATAGCAGTCTAGTCGGTGGGGATATTCCTTTAAGATACCTACTTCCTAAGCTTGGTGAAAGAAAACCATAGCTAACACAAAGGGGTTAAATTTAGTTGGCTCAATAGGGTAAACTGTTGCCTTATAAGTAGGAGGACCTAAGTTTGGATTCCTAGGACCTCCATAAGAAATACCAGGCCATAACCATGAGTATGGGCAGCACACACAGGACTCAACATGTAGTGGGAGGATATGGGAAACTTGAAGTGGACCCAAGAGGGGTTGATGTGGAGAGTGGGGAGCAAATGTGATAAAAAACATTGTATGTAAGTATGCAATTCTCAAATTGATGAAAATATTGTATTTTAAAAAATTAGTGGTGTAGTAATGTGCTTATAATGTGGCTATAATCACAGTGCTGTGCTGTTAAGTGGAAACACGAGGATCCCTGGGACTTATTGATCAGCCAGAGTAGCCTACTTGGTGAATACCAGGCCAGTGAGACACCCTGTCTTAAAAAACAAAAAACAAAACAAAAAACAGGGACAACACCTGAGGTTGTCCTCTGGCAATGCATGCGCCCCTTCATACACACATACAAATAAATATACATGCACATAAATAGCCAACTTGATAAAATCAAGTACAATACACAATACTTTTGGGGGTATTTTCTTTTTTGTAGGCTCAAACTAAAGAAAAAAACATCTTAAGACTGTGACTGTAACCTATTGACAAGGAATCTCTTAAACACAGTCATCTTAAGGTAAATGGAGTACAACTTTTCCTGTGTTTAAAATTCAGCTTGCTAAAGTTATGTCTTTTACCTAAAGGGGAGTCATTTTAAAACACCAGGAAGTAGGATAAAATATAGCCATCATGGCTCACAACACCCAATGAAGGTCCTCATCTAGCCTCCTCAGCCACCAGGCACACATATGGTTGGTACATAGACAAGCATGCAGGAAAAATAGCAATACATATAAAATATAAGTTTTAAATATTAAAATATAGCCATCTAACTAGAGTTACTGTTGTATCTTACATGGAATATACCTCTTCACTCATCTTTTTAAAGAGAGAGAATACTGCCTTCACATCACTTTAATGTTCATAGGTACCATTAATCATAATTACTACTATCACTACATACTACTGTCAATCATTTTTGGCTTCATATAAGTATACAGACTCCCAAAACTGTGAAAGGAGTCTGATGTGTAAAACAAGGCAAAAGAAATACAATGAAGTTCTTTTATTATTGCATATATAACTCCAGCAACCAATGGTCTTGATTGGCCCTGACATAAAGAACAGCTGGGATACCTTGATGTCCTCTTCACTTTCTGAAGAGGAAGAGTTGGGAAGAAATGGGTATGGCTCAGAAGCAACAAAGTGTCAAACTTCGTCTTAGTAGAGAAGCAAGAATGAACTGTACCATACACTGCTTGTTAAAGAGCATGTTTGCAGACCAAGCTAAAAGCCTTTCATTTCAGTTTTCATGTTCATAAGACAAAATAATTCTTTAGAAGATCTATAATCAGTAACAAGGCACACATAGCTCAGTCTAACCAACCTCTAGTTGGATAACAAGATGTTAAGGTTTATAAGACAAGTCAATTCCAAATTGTTTTCAATCTACTTCATTTTTACAATCCTCATTTTTAATAGCAAACATTTTTATTGTTGCCAATCATTTTCTAAGGAGGTTGTAACATTACTTACTGGATTATCCAAAAATTTAAAAGGAATGGGCTATGTATATTCCAAGTGTTGGTAATTATGAAAGAAAATTCACCAAAAGTCTTATATAACAGAAAAATAGAATTATATTTGACAACCCAAGTCATTGTTAATTTTAAGATGCATCATTGACAAAAATGTGTCGGGCTCTTTCTGACTTCTAAGGTTATTTCTCTTAAAAAGGTGCTTTCTTTGTAGTAAAAGGATAGCAAGGGATTATACTCCTATGTCGGGAATGAGATTTCACCAGCAAATCTGACATGTCTCCTCTGCTAGTTCAGTAAAATAATCCTACTGTAAGAAATAATACACAAGATATGAAAACAAGATTCTATGTAACCTGATATGCATAGATTCTTAAAATAATACTGGTATATTCTCTATTTGACATGATAATAACAAATTAAAGGGACACTATTTATAACTTAGCGTTTTATATTCAAAGTGCAAAAACAATAATTTTTACTCAATGCCAAAATACTCTTTATAGGACATAAAAACTCTTCAGTTTTATATAGTTCACAAAATGTTACTATGATTAGTGATAAAGCTATCTTTGCTGTCTAGGGTTTTAGTTATTTTGGTAACACCAACATGCATTTACAGAATAAAATATTTGGAAATTAAAATTTATGTCCTGTGGTAGTAAGGATGACACTAATATTAAAAGTCAATGCAATTGGATCTTTTGTAATAAAGGAATTTAGTTAAAAACGATGACTCTATAACTTGAAGTCATTTTATTAATACAAATCTTAAGTTTTTGGAGTGCAGATTGATTAAGTTACCTGATATTTTACTTAACTATTTTCATAAGCCTCTTTCACATTAGTGAGTTACTTCTAAAATAAACTTGCACAGAAAAGATAAATGTGTCGAGGAGAGCATCACATTAGCTTCTGACTTAACAGCATACTACACATGCCACCTTATCAACATTTTCACTTAAATCATATAGGTTCCTTTCTTTCAAAGGTATCAACATGTTTCAACATATATGGCACATGTATCAAGTAATGGGAGAATCATGTCACTTAGAAATTAACAACATAAAAAATGGTGAAATTTTAATTTCACGTAACTCCTACAGCTTACATAACAACATATACTGGTCGGTACTAAGTATCATGTAAGCCTAGATTGTACAGCCTTTAGAAGAGCACCTGTTCATGTTTGTCAGGGTCTGATCGGCTGATGGTGCACCAATTCTTTTATTACCAGCAAGATTTTTACCGCCACTTCCAGTGTATGTGAACTCATCACCTCGGTCCTACAGGGGAAGATAATTTTTTATAGTGAGATACTTAAACCTGAGTATAATTTCACCAATTCTCACTTTAGATTCAGAACATTAAGATGCTACTGACATGTTTCTCAGAGAATTTACCAAAATCAAGCAAAATGCAATGTAGTGTACTTTTAAGTTTCATCACTTGATGTAAAGATTTTGCTTCAAAGTTTTAGTTTCCGACATCATCAAACAGCTATTCTCATGTGTGTATGTATCTAAGTAATCCACAGCATTTTACAAAATAAGGGCTAATGGGTTAGAAACATTATTTTATTTTATTTTAATTCAACAGTAACTGAAATATCAACAGTAGTTTGCAGGTTCTTTATTAAGAGTGTCACTTTCGGAAACATTCCATGATGGAATTCTTGGCTGTCACCTACACCGTATAGAAATTTTCTGATGAATATTTAAAATTTGGTATGGGCATTAAATACATTTTATAAACTAAGTTTACACAAATGCTTCACCCGATAGTTCTAATAGCATTAGCAATTTTTCCATATTTCATATTATGAATTCATCCATGGTACACTCAGGTTTAAAAAATAAGCATTACTACTAAGAAGAAACCTGGAAAATAATTTGAAAATTAAATGCAGTACTTACCACCTATTAAATCTGATAAATATACCCAAAGGTGATATTAGAAAAACCAACAACCCAACCATTTCTGTGGTAGCTACAAATTTATATAGGTATAATCTAATCTTAGCTAATTCAAAACTCAAAATAACTCAAGAAAGGTATCAGTTATATTTTACTCTAACAATACTAGCCGACTAGTTATTTGGCTTTTTAAATTATATGTATTTAAATTATATTATAATTAGTTCATTTGGGAGGTGGGGCATGTGCACACCACAGCCAATATGTAGTGGTCAGAGGACAACTTAAAAGGGTCAGTTCTCTCCCTCTACCGTGTAAGTCCAACTCAGGAAGCCAGGTCTGGTGCTAAGTGCCTCTACCTACAAGCCCATATTTCTTTCTTTTCTTTTTACTGTAAAATTGGGATGAACCTAAAGACAATGCTTTTTCTACTAAATTAATACTTTTTTGAAGGTTTATTTCCATACTGTTTTTCCCTTGGATTAAAGTCTATCTAAAACCATGTGCTTTTCAAGTGCTTTTATGAGGTAGGCATGGTGGTGCACGCTGTAACCCCAGCACTGGGAAGGTGAAGAAAGAAGACTAGAGTTCAAATATGGGAACAACTTGGGCTACACAATGAACAAATGAGTGAATGAATGCTTCTATTGGCTCCCAAGCCTTCAAATTTGCATTTGATAATGAAATGTTTAATGTCTCCATTATTTTTAAATAAGGAGTGAAATTTAATCTATAGTGTGTATTTTATTTGAAGAACTCTAATAAACTCACATCTGTGATGGCCCAGAGCACATTTGTTTGTTTCTTTCCTTCCTTCCTTCTGTTCTTTTCTTTCTGTCTGTCTGTCTTTTGTTTTTGAGACAAAGCTCAGGCTAGTTTCAAACTTAACTGTGTAGCTGAGGATGACTTTGAACTCCTGATCCTTCTGCCTCTAACTCCCAAGTGCAGGGATAATAGGTATATACCACCATGCCCTTCTAAAACACTTCCTAAATTGATGAGAAACAATCTTTCACACTGTACCTGGATTGACACAGTATACCTAAGTTAATAATCACCAAGTTTTTAAGTTACAATAATGAGAGTAGTGAGCACATAACAGAATAGGCACAACCAGCTAAACAGTGATGGAAACAAAGGAAGACAAATATTCTGAATATTCTTCAAGTAGTAAACAAGCAAATAATGGTTAAAACTCTACACTATACCACTAACACATATGCACTTCAATCATTATGCCAACAAGCTTTCTATTATGGTGGACAAAGAAAGATCAACTTGGATTCACTGTGTTTTCTGAGCCATCAAGTAGCTTGTACATGACTGCTGCCTAGGAAGAGTGCACACACAAAGCTAAACCTGCTCAAGGATATGATGCTGCCACCACCAAGTAATAGAATTTCCCACACCAAACCCATGGCCTTGTGTGTTCTAGGCTAGTACTCTATCTGAATTACATTCCCATTCTACAATTTTCCAATTTCTATTCTACCTTACAATCTGCTAAAGGAGGCTACCTAAAAATAGACTGTTGTACCCGCCATCAGCCTAATCACACAGGCCAGCAACTACACCTCAGCTTCCCACCTAATTATTAGTTCAAAGCTATCTAGATATAGCCTTAATTTATCTCACAACACTCTCAAACATACATCATTGTATAATCCAGTAATTGTATTTCTTGACAAAAATCACATATTTCAATTTTGACTGCAGTATTATTTCTAATAGTTAAAAACTGAAAGTAAACCAGGTACGCCTCAATAGGTAAACGGCTTAAGTGTGACATATTCATACTATGGACTCAGAAACAAAGAGGAACGAACTATTAGTACACACTAGAGAATGTCTGAGTCACAAAAAAGGGTATACCCAAAGTTAAAAACTATATGATCCATGTATGAAAGTTCTTGAAATGACAAGACTATAAATAGAAAACAGATTAGTGGTTATCAGGGGTTAGAGGGCCTGGGGACAATATAATAACAGGAATCTTGAGAGCAGAAACATTTGGCATCCTGACTATTGGAGTCAAGATCTTGGCTGTGGTAGTGTCTAGTAAACAATTAAGCAAAGGACTACTCTTGGAAAAGGATGCATATAACTTCTAATGCTGTTAACTGTGAAGGTATAATTATTTCAAAATAGAATTAATTTTTTAAAAGAAATAAGATCCAGAGTATATACTTTCTTTATATTAATTAGTTACCAACTGTTTAGGCTAAGCCAGCATATGTAAAAAATAGGCACTGCTAAATCTTATACCTTATATAAAAACCAATCACTTCAACAAAAACTATGCTAAAAAAGACAGTTGTTTTTAATGTGTCTTTTGTACTTTATGAAATGATCAAGTTATGTTCTAAAGAGCATATCATTACTTACAACTTCATCGGCAAATCCTCCAGCCAGGACAAGCGAATAAGCCCCATCATTGCTGCGACCATGAATGCCACCAACATGAGGCCTATGAACACCTGCTTCGCTCACCTGTAAGATAAAGGAAAGTATGATCAAAGTACATTATATATGTATGAAACTGTGATAGATAAATATGAATAACAATTTAGTTAGCCTTGCATATACTTTAATATGTATTATTAAACTCTAAAGCCCAATTCATGTTTCACCTTGAGTTTGCTTTCTCATTTTAGATTGCCTAAATAAATTCTGAAGGTCCTAGGTTTTTCCAGTTCTAGCCCCCAATCTTGCTTTGGGACCTGCACACTAACAGACCCTTCTACACTGTCTTGCTTTGCTCCTTCAAATTCAGTCTATCTTAATCAGTATGATCCTTTTATAGGTTTATTTCTAGACAGAGTCTTACAAAGGAGTCATGATGGCATCAAATTCACTATGTATATCAGGCTGGCCTTGAACTTGCAGCATCCTTCTGCCTTTGCCTTCCAAGTGCCGGCATCACCAAAGGCATGATCCACTGTACATGGCTCAGAATGGTCTTTATATGGGTGATTTTTGGTTGGGCTGGGGATATGGCTCAGTGCCACATAAGCAAGAAGACCATTGTTTGGGTAGGTATAGTGGCTTTCTGTAATTCCTGCCTCAGAGGCAGACAGGAGTAAGCTGGCTAGCAAGACTAGCAATATAGGCAACCTATGGGTTTCGTTAGAAAACAGTAATTCTTGACATTATAAAGCTGGTTATAAGCTTATGGCTGGGGAGGTTAAAGACCACAGCAGAGCTGCTGTTGTTTGGCTACATAGATATGATGAACCCATCACATTGTTTTCTAAATAACTACATTTATAACCACACATTATTGCTGCTGTCAGTTTTTGTCACAGAAGTTTCTTTTCTGCACTGGTCAGTGTTCACTACAGACACTCCTAATAGCTAAAGTATTGAGAATAAATGACTGTCAAATGCTCAGTCATAAGTGGGACATCTATATTACTCACTCCAAGACTCAGGGAACATTGTCAAAGAACGGATGGAAAGAACATAAGAGGTGGAGGAAGGGGAATAATTTTAGTACTGGGTTAACTGGCACTAACTGCCTCAAACACCTTACAATTTATTCAAGAAAAGTCTCAAGGAAAATGTTTAAAAGGAAGCCTAAAGTTTAATGACATTAAAAAAGAATTTATCAATAACCTAAAATTCTTTTTAAATATTAGTTTTCTAAAAGAGAAAGCTTAACAGTACCCATGCAAATCAGAACAATAAAGCAAAGTGATAACAAAGGTAACTACTGTCTTACTCTAATGGTTCTCTTCTGTCTGATCATGTCTGGGGAAAGGCAGTCATTCTAACGAATGATATGTGCTACTTAGTTTAGACCCACTTGTAACTTTTTTTTTTTTTTGTTTTATGACACAGGGTTTCTCTGTATTGTTTTGGAGGCTGTTGGTCCAGCCTAGCCTCGAACTCACAGAGATCCGCCTGTCTCTGCCTCCCGAGTGCTGGGATTAAAGGTGTGCGCCACCACCGCCCGGCCCCACTTGTAACTTAAAACAAATGTTAACATCACTTCAATTTTAATTAATTGAATTTTACCCTCTCAATTAGGTCAACTGAAAGCATACCTGAACTCTGAATCTCCAAGTTGATCCAACAGGAATACCAGGGATAGGTCCATAATGATTCGAAGGGACAATAGTACATTCTTTTGTACGACCAACACAAGCCATTCCCTGTAAGTCACAAAATAAGCTGTTGGAGAAATCAATTATGTAAAACTTTTTGAAGATTTCCAATTCTCATAAGATGTGAATGAAATAACTCGATCAATGAAATCATTATTTATACAATTTAATTATCACTGATATTAACAATTGTTTAATCTTTTATACTACCACTACCAATATTGAAACACTATTTACTATTAATTGTTAGTAAGAAAATGAGAGGGAGTTTCATTTTTACCCTGCCCCAGTCTCTCCGGCTTTCTGTACTAGCTGAAGGCATCTTTGATTTCTTCTTACTCATCTTGAGTCTTTCCCCAGCTTTTACAACCTCACTGGAGTCAGTTTTGCAGGAAGGACAATACCTTAAAGGAATAAAAAAGAACAGACTATTTGGTAACATCATACTAAAACCAGTGACAGAATAATGGCCTTCCTACATTAGGACAAGTACCAGGACATACTGGAATATACTACAGAGCCTAGGAAAGACTAAAGAAAAGAAGAGATGTCTATTCTTCATATTCATACTTACTAGCCACTTGGGACATCAATATGGTTTTTTGCCATTATACTCCTTGTTAAAAACCTTCCAGGGTAGCAGAATGTGGGGGTAGGGGAGAGAACCACTAGAGAAATGGCTCAGTTGTTAAGAGCACATACTGCTCTGTCAGAAGACCAGCGTTTGATTCTTAGCACCCTCATCATGAGGCTCACAACTGCCTCTAACTCTAGCTCCAAGGACTCCAATACCCTCTATTGGCCACTGAGGGGCACTGCACATGTACATGCGTCCACACACACACAAAAGCATACATGATTAGAACAAACACATGCAATTTAAAAAATACTTTAAAAAAGATTCCTTAATGTGATTTCTTACAAGTTTCTATGTCTGGGCAGTGGTAGTGTACGCCTTTCATCCCAGCACTCAGGAGGCAGAGGCAGGTAGATCTCTGTGAGTCTGAGGCCAGCCTGGTCTACAGAGCTAGGATCTAAAGCTACAGAGAAACCCTGTCTTGAACCACCGCTCCTCCAAAAACATCTTTACAAAAAAGTTTATTATAATTTTGACTAGGCACATCTGTCCTAATCTTTTGTAAGTGGTTTGTTTCTAACTACCACTACACATGTAAATTTAGATTATGGATTTAATATTGGAGCCTTGTCCTATTTAAGAACTCCGTAAGATTAGATACAATATCCATATAAAACACTTGGTATATATTAAGCATTTAATTACTAAGAGCATAACAGGAAATCCAACATACTAGGGGCAGAGAGTCATGTAAAGGCTGATTAGACATAAGTGAAAAAGCGAAGGATGAATACTATCTTGAAGCAAGGAACAAGAGAAAAATGCTTCCAAGAAGAAAATGACTCAAGTATGAAAACAGAAAAAAGACTGACTTAAAGAGTTGAAAGAAAGTGAATCTGGCTAGAATGTACAGTATTTACGGAAATAAGGGAGAAAATAGTATGGCATATAGATGAAAAAACAACTAAGTAGTAGTATTCCAGGTCCTTTAAACGCAACCTAAGGCCTTTGAAACAAAGGTACAGTAATCAAATTTGCACTTCTGAATGACTCCATACCAGAGCATGACCAGATAGATAAAAATCAGAATCCAGCTCAGTTATTACAGTAAATGCATAAAGGTATCAGTGCTAAGTGATGGCTATCTGTGACACTTTCAATACTTTAATGTACTATGTATCTTTAGAAATTCATATGTGGCCAGGCATGGTGGCACAGTCCTGTAATCCCAAGCACCTGGCAGATTTCTATAAGTTTAAGGCCTGACGGATCTACATAGCAAGTTCCAAGACAGCCAGAACTACATAACAAGAAACTATCTGAAGAAAAATAAAAAGGCGAGGGAGGGTGTCAGTCCACCCTTGGAAGATACATTTCATTTGTAGAAAAACTATAATTTAAAAAGGAAAAGACAACACCCGGTGATGGTACCAGTATTCTTCTTCTGGGACTTTATCCAAAGGTGGACTCAGGCAGTAGATATGGTATGCCATATTGCACTCATCACATAGAAGCTGCATGTTGGGATCCCGTTTCTCTCCACATTTATGACAAGAACACATATGACATGTCTTATCTGGGTCTCCACCACACAGGTCACATTCTGGGTCATTTTTCCCTATAAAGAACAAAATTTTGGAAATGTTATCTTTTTATATCTATTATTCTCATAAAAACATTGAAACAGCACACAACCTTCTTTTAAATAAAAGAAAAATGTAATAAAAGTGACAACCCAGGATAAGGTTTAATAAGTGCCTCAGGCTAGAGAGATGGTTTAGTAGGTAAAGGCACCTGCTGCCAAGCTGTGTGACCAGAGTTCAATCCCCATCCCACATGATGTAAGGAGAACTAACTCCAAGAGTCTTCTAACCTCTACACTTGTACTCTCTCCTCTCTCTCTCTCTCTCTCTCTCTCTCTCTCTCTCTCTCTCTCTCTCTCTCACACACACACACACACACTTCAAAAAAACAAAAGGAACGAACAAACAAATGCAAAATGCTTCACCCCCAACTTACTAAATCAGAATTTCATGAGACGGGCCCATTGGCATGCCAGAATGTGTGGGATGGGGTGTAGTGACAATAAACACAGGCAGTGTATACTTTTGCCATCAATTGCATGATACATATATATATATATATATTGATTCATAGGTTTCACCAACAGTGCACCAACATTCCCATGGGAAGCACAGAGAAGAACTCAGAGTGCTATAATACCTTAGAGTCCATGGGCCTCTGATGCTAAGGATAGATAAGGACACAGGGAAATAGTTGGCAGTAATGCACACAGTGCCAGTGAGATGGCTCAGCAGGCAAAGGCACTTGCCACCAGGCCCGAGTTCAAATCCCAGAATCCACACAGTGGAAGAGAGATTTCCTAAAGTAGTTCTTTGACATAAACTTGCACACACACATAAATAATTTTAAATAAAACAAAATTTTAAAGAGAATGCACATGGATAAGCATTTGAAAGACCATTTTACAAACAATAACTTACTACAAACTATTCACTTTTCGTTGAAAGGAGGTAAATGTGTATGGCTACTATTTTATAACTCCTCCAAAATTACTCATTGGTCAATAAAACTAAATTTCTATCACATTTAGTCTAAGCCTAAAAGAGAAACTCATACTTAAAAACTTTCCATCTGCAAAGCAAAGAGGACGGGCTCCAGGATTCTCAATCTTGAAGATTTCATCTACAAATATCACTCGGCAGTCATTTAATGTTCCTTCAGAATCTCTGTTTAAAAAGAGAAAGAAACACTAATTTCTAACAGCAAAATTTAAATTATGCAAAAAATAATTTTAAGTCATTGCAGAAATTCATTTTTCCGACTTGTAACTTGAACTTATAGTTATTTTAATTACTCTGGTCTCTTGTTTTTAGTAGCAGTTACTCCTCAAAGTTAGATATAGCCGGGTGTTGGTGGCGAACGCCTTTAATCCCAGCACTCGGGAGGCAGAGGCAGGCGGATCTCTGTGAGTTCGAGGCCAGCCTGGTCTACAAAGTGAGTTCCAGGACAGTCTCCAAAGCTACAGGGAAACCCTGTCTCAAAAACCCTCCCAAAAAAAAAAAGTTAGACATAATAGTTTCAGAGTAATATCAACAAAAAAGAAATTCAGACTTTGTTACTTAGATTATCTTGTAAGAAGTACCTGTCTTATAAACATGGCATAAAGGCTATATAAAATGCTTTCCTGCTAATTAAGGTTCAAAAATTCTTCCAATATTTCTAGGCAAAAATAAGGTGCCCTCTTACTAGATCTTTTCAAACATGAAGCCAGTCACTTTACTTTATACTTATTTGCATACTCTCCAGTTCTTCCCTACTATGACTGTGAACCTGTTTATCTCCTTTAAAAGCATTATTATCGATTGTGTCAATGTGTGTGGGTTTGTGCAAGTACTGCACATGAATACAGGGACCTGCAGAAGCCAGATGCACTGAATCCCCTTGGAGCTGGAGTAAGCTGCCTGACATGGATTCAAATGGGTCCACTCTAAGAGCAACAAGTACTCTTAACTACTGAGTTATTTTTCCAGTCCTGCTTATCCTTTTAATCACAGCTTTTGCTTTGTATTTGGAAGACATGATATTAGGTACACATAGATTTAAATTTAAGACTTTTATTTTCTTTTGACTCTTGTGAATTCTATATCGTATCTACTCCTTTCTGAAAAAAGAGAAAGTAGCATCCATTTAATTAAGACTTTCTCCACATTTATCTTTTCTATTGAAAATTTAACATTAAGTATAATACACAAAACTACACAGGTAAATGGATAACTCGAGAAAATGTGAGGTACATATCCTTTGTTATCATCAGTGATGACAGCCGACAGAACTGTCATGCTACCTCAGAAGTAATCATTTCTTCACATCTTCTTGAGAGTTGCACTTACCTTCATTTTCTGTAGACTTATTGCTTGTCTGCCACCCTAAGCATATGACATAATTTTGCCAACACACTATAATCTACAAATTCACAAACCCTCTTTTTCTTCCTTAAAATTGCTTAAGAACACTAGTCATTTGTCCAAATGCTTCTTAGTCTTGGTTTTGACATTTGTATTCCTAGGAAACAGTGATTGATCACTGTTAATACTAAAGACACTCTATATCCTGGCATTCTACATGGGTGCTTGAGTCCACAGAGGCGAGAGAGGGTACTGGATTCCCTCAACTAGAGTTACAGTTAGTGATTATGAGATACCCATGTGAGTGTAGAGAACCAATCCCAAGTCCTCTGCATGAGCAGTAAGTGCTCCTAAGCCATCTCTCAAGCCCTTAGGAAGATTTTTAACTATGATACAAATACCAATGCTCAAACCATCCTTGCTTTTATGGCTCTTATGTTCTAAACACTTCCAGTAAGAGCTTACTAGTGCTTTACAGTTGGACTAGCTACAATGTAACTGTTATACCAGTCAGTATTTGCCTGTCTATTGTTCTACTCATCCTTAGTCTAGTCACCAAATAATTTTGTACCCCAGGATCATTTAGAGAAACCTTCTTTAAAAATAGCATTTTCTTTTCCTTTAAGTTTATTTATTTATTAATATATTTATTTTGTGACAGGGTCTCACTATGGTTGGCTCTGAACTCACAGATCTCCCTGCCTACACATCTCAGTGCTCCAATTTAAAGGTGTAAGTCACTATACCCCAGATTAATTTTTTAAAGCTCAATGCTATGAGTTTTGTTATCTTCTGTAGTACACACCCTTTTTAATATTTCCTATAATCAAATATATTATAAGGTTTCATATATACTCAAGTTATTTTGGTAGTTTCTTCATATTTGTACATACATCTGAATTTTAAGCTGCTTAGAAATCTGTAATTCTGTTACATCCTTTGTCGAGTAACAAAATCACACTTGTATTTCTGTAGAAAGGTCTGAAATCTGTTTTCTAAAATATGAGTTTTGATCCGAATATTCTAATGTGAAAACAGTAAAGTTAAAGCTTTCTTCAGCATGCCCTAATAATCTTCATCCTTATTTCAGGGTCAGTAACTATTTTCATGAAGGATCAGACAAACAGTTTAAACTGTGCAGTCAGATGATCTCAGTTGCAGATCCTCAAAAAAAGCTGTTGGTACAAAACCAGTGTAGATAATAATCAATGAGCAATGTGTTCCAGTAAAATTTATTCATAAGCACAAGGAGCTACTGGGCTGTAGTTCATCTAGCCTTGCTTTCTACTAATCATAAGTAAATGTCTGCTGCTCACAGATTTGTCACCTGTTGCCATTAATTCAGTTAAGTAAAACATGAAAAAATGTATAAATTTGGTTCTCTTAACAAGCACAATCTGTTAATGCCAATCTAAATTCTCACTGCTTAATACAACAAATCGTGTATGTATTCATTACAAAGAAAAGAAATGCACATAGAAGGAATTTGTAAGGAAAATTTAGAAACTCCTTACAACATGTTATCTTTTTAAATGGCAGCTCATTGATTATTCAGTCAATAAAAAAATGAAAAGCGGCTGGGCAGTGGTGGCTCACACCTTCGATCCCAGCACTCAGGAAGCACAGGCATGAGGATCTCTGTGAGTTCAAGGCCAGCCTGGTCTATACAATGAGTTCCAAGACAGGCTCCAAAGCTACAGAGAAACCCTGTCTCAAAAAACAAAAATGACAGAGGAGAGACAGAGGTGGTATTAATAATATCTCAGGTATAAAAGCTCTCTGTGAAGTAATACCTACCTCTATCATTTGAGCAAAATCCTGCAAAGTTATAAGCTACAAAAGAGGTGAAGCTGGGGTCTACATGGTTCCTGTAGATTTTCTGTATATTTTTGTTTGATCTGTAAGAATTCTAAGCTGGGTGGTGGTGATGCACACCTTTAATTCTAGCACCTGGGAGCCAGGGGCAGATGGATTTTTGTGAATTCAAGACCAGCCTAGTCTACAAATCAAGTTCCAGGAAAGCCAGAGTTGTTATATGGACACCTTGTCTCAATGAAACAAGCCAAAAAAAAAAAAAAACAGCATTCTAGATGTTGGGTTGCTAAGACTCCTAGCAATAGTGGAGAGGGTTCCTTAATGGCTTTCCCCTTTAATCAGATTTGTGACTCCTCTAATTGTCATCACAGAACCTACATCCAGTAACTGCTGGAAGCAGATGCAATGATCCATAGTCAAGCACTGTGCTGAACTCCTGGAGTTCAGCTGAAGAGAGAGAGAGGAGGAATCATATGACCAAGGGGGGTCAGGAACATGATGAGGAAAACCGGAGACAGATGACCAGAGCTAGTGGGAGCTCATGGACCTGACAGCTGGGGAAACCTGCATGAGACCAAAATAGCCCCTCTGAATGTGGGTGACAGCTATGTGGCTTGATCTGTTGGGAGGAACCATGAACTAGCTTTTTGGAGCCCATTCCCTATTGTGTGGTACCTTGCTCAGCCTTGATACAAGGGGGAGGGGCTTGCTCCCGCCTCAACTTGGTATGCCAGACTTTGTTGACTCCCCAAGGAAGGCCTTAGCCCCTCTGAGGAGTTCATGGGGGTGGGGTGAGAAGGGAGGAGGTGGAAGGGATAGGAGAATGGGAGGGAGGGGAACTGGGGTTGCCATGTAAAATGAACCATTTTTTTTTTTAGGAAAACAAAGAATTCTAGGAAGCACAGGCTTCTCTAGTAAGACACTTTCATATCCAAGATTCTCCACCATTATCTTTAACCTTAGAGATAAAGATATATTCAGTCTTAATAAAAATTCTCAAGAATTTATAAAAATATTCACCTATAAAATGGAAAATTCTCTTTAACTCCACCTTCTGTAATACAAGTATATGCTTCACATCTGAGAATTACACTTCTAACTGAACAGCTAAATGGCATTAGTGACAAGAACCTTACCCCAGGAAAACTTTCACTCGAACTTCCTTTTTGGTCCTTGAGATTGTCTTCAGTGTGGTAATTTCAGCATCATACCAAAATCCTCTTTTGCTTGGATTTTCTACATTGTAATTAACCATTACCACATCACCAACATTCAGTTCGTTCCATTTTAAAGTGGTTCTTGCTCGTGGTCGTAGATCCTTAACATTCATTTCTAGGATACCACTTTCTGGATATCTAAGGGAACAGGAAAAGACAGAGCTCAGAATTATTTTCACAAGACGCTAAAATTGTATGCAATATATATATAAAGACCCAATTTGCAGAGTTTGAAAGAAAAAGTAAAATTTCCATTGTGGGTGGTGGTACATCCTGGTAGCATATGCTAAAGACACGGAAGCAGGAGAATGAATTTGAGATCAGCCTGAACTATACCTTAAAATATATGCACATCTCTCAAGTAAACAGGTAGTGCCATCCCTTCTTACTGGGTCCATTTCTCACCTGTACTGTGACACTCACAGGCTGGTATCTACAAATGTGAAAATAAATGAACCCTTCCCAACTAAGCCTTGGACAGGTACCTTTTTTCATGGCTTTCAGTGTTAGGCAACTACACATCCCATGTTCTGTATCCATCATATTAAGTTGGGGTTTCTTTCCAGACTCATTTTTCTTTTTGTGTACATGCATCATATCTCATGGAGCTGGAGTTACAGGCAGTTTTGACAACTCACACTGTGTGCTGGAAGCCAAACTCAAATTCTCTGGGAAAGTTGAAAGCACTCAACTGCTGAGCCACATCTCCAAACCTTGGGGTTTCTTTATGTAGCCAATTGATTCTGCTACTTATTACTGTTATAATTAATATTCTAAATGAGATAGTGTATTTTTCTTGATACTTAAATAATAAGAGTTAACTATTTTAATTATCACAGAGAATTCCTAAAAGCTGAGGAAGATATTAATCATTGACTAAGAGGAGTATTTAAAACACAAAGTCTTGTTTCATATTTATGTTTAAGAATTACATTAAAGAGGGCTGGATAAATACCTCATCAGTTAAGGCATTGGAGGGCCTGAGTTCAATTATCAATACCTACATGGCAGCTCACAACTATCTGAAACTCCAGTCCTATGGGATCCCACACTCCTTCCTGGCATTTGTGGGTACCTGGCAAACACACAGTGGCAGGGACATACATGCAGACAAATATCCATACACACTAAACAAATAAATAGTCAATAAGGCTGAAGAGATGGTTCAGTCACAAAGAGCACTTATTGCTGTATTAGAGCACTTGCTCTTACAGAGGATCAGAGTTCAGTTCCCAGAACCCACATGACTGTTCACAATTGCCTGCAACTCCAGTCCCAAGGGATCCAACACCCTCTTCTGAGCTCATTGGCATCAAGCACATACATGGTGCACAGACATATATACAGGCAAAATGCCCATACATATAAAATAAAAATAACTATAAAAAAGTTTTAATCATCACTATCATTTTATCAGATCTAGATGTTGGCTTCTCCCTGATCATAGAGCTAGTTCATCAAACGCTAGCATGCCCTAACATCTTCCATTTTCCCTGGAAAATATTCCTGTTAAAATTACTGTTCTTAAATATAGTAATGCTCCCTAGTAATGCTTAGGAGCAAAAACTAAATCAAATCAGCAAAACCCCATAATTTTATGTGTAGATGAAGAAGAAGCATGGTGGAGGGAAAGACACCTAACATAATCCTTGACCTTAATCCCTTAAAATTTATTTTAAATCCTGCATGGTGGCTCATGTCTTTAATCCCAGCACTTGTAAGGCAGAGGCAAAGAGATCTCTGTGAGTTTGAGGCCAGACTGGCTACATAGCAAGCTCCAAGACAGCTAGGACTACATAGGGATGCCGTCTCAAAAATTTTTTTTCTTTTAGGCCAAATTTGACATCGTCAGCCTAAAGATAGCAATCGAACAATACACCCTGGCTTCTATAGATTTAGGATCTGCTGCAGTCTTTGTGTATTATTTATTACAAAGAAATGAGTAGCACTTGCTTCCACTCCTAAAATGTTCAGTCAATGGAGGTGAGCCATACTGCTATGGAACTTCAAAGTGTGGTAAAAAAACTAGGATATTATCACCATCTGCAAACTCACTAAAAAACACGTTCTCGAGCTACGCTTCAGGCCCAAGTAAGGAATTCTGGAAATGAGACTCAACGTTAAACTTCTACCAATCTTTCAGTCAGTCAAGTTAACCACATGCTATAGGAATACAAAAATATTCATGATTCCCTTGAGAATCAGTATTACTAAGGCGGAAAATGTCGACCGGTGGTGGTGCATGCCTTTTATCCAGAGGCAGGTGGATCTCTGTGAGTTCAAGGTCAGGCTGGTCTACAAAGTGAGTTTCAGAACAGCTAGAGCTATTACACAGAGAAACCTTGTCTAGAAAACAAACACACAAAAAGAGAGAGAGAGAAAGAATGCAGAAATTAAGGAAAGAAAACTGGCCCTGAGACAAATAAGAATAGCATGTTCAGATCCAAACTGATCTGTAGTTGGAAGCTGTTCCAGCAGCTGGTCATAGTTCTTCCAAATCAAACCAGGGCTAGGCAAGCACATGACTCTTACAAGATATTTGACTTTCTTACAATAAGTACTTTTTGAAATCTTTTTTTGTTTGTTTGTTTGTTTGTTTTTTTGTTTTACAAGTCAGGGTTTCTCTGTATTGTTTTGGAGGCTGTCGGTCCAGCCTGGCCTGGAACTCACAGAGATCCGCCTGCCTCTGACTCCCGAGTGCTGGGATTAAAGGCGTGCGCCACCACCGCCTGGCTCTTCTTGAGATCTTTAATCACCGAGTTTAATCAAGTCTCTACTTTTCAGTTAATTGGACCAGGGAAAGTCTAGTATTGGTGAGTGGCAGCAGAGACATTCTGGTCCATTTATCCTCAGTGCCATAATTCCCTTTGCAAAGCTTCTGAATAATTAGCCACTGTTCAGACAGTAATGATGTAAGCAAAGCCTTGTCCTGACACAGTTCTGATACAGGATAGAGAAGGTAGTTGATACAGAACCAGAGATAAGCATTTGGAACTTATTTATGTCTTAATCCCATGAAGAAATCCAAACACTCTCTTCAGAACAAAGCATTTGACAGCCTTAAACCTTTAACTAACATAACAAAGTTCTTATTTCTTTACTATCCTTAGGTCTTCATTCAAAATATGTTCCATTTTTACCTTGCCTGGGTTTAGAGTTCCAATTTGGTTTCTTGCTATTGTGTACCCTTGGGAAAGCTGTTCTAAATCTCTGTGACTATTCCTCCCTCATGCATAAAAACACGAATTTAGTGCCTTACCTGGTGGTTTTAAAAACTAAAAATGTTGGGCCCTTTGAGTGCTAAACACAGTACATAATAAACATAAGTTGCTGGAAAAAAACCTTATAGGAATCTTTTTTGACAAGTGCCATTAAATCCACAGTTTTCTTCTAGTTCAATGGTCAAAACCTGAATATACAAATAACTGACATTTACTCAGTATACAAAATGAAGTTAGATTTACTTTTAGAAATGGGAGTCTCACTGTAGTTCACACTACCTGGAACCACAATGGAATTACAGATGTGAGCCACCAATTCGGCTAACTAGATCTTTTAAATCTTAAATCGTGAATTCATTTTCTGCCTCATGTTAGGATGAAAGTTTCTTTCAGAGGGGATTATTTTCTCAACTATAATGCAAAAATTGTACTTTGATATCATAACTGAAATTTATATAAAAAAGTGAAGAACATTTCAACAGCAAAAACCACCCGCAGAATGCAAACATTTTGAAAAAAAATAAAGCGCTTGAATAAGCTTTTTCTCCTTATTTGGCTGGTTTTGTTAATCTGAGATAGGGCCTTAGTTGGTAGCTCAAACTGTTCACAAATTTGCAATCCTCCAGTCTTGGCATGTGTACCACCCCACTGGTCTCCTTTTTTACATAGATAGGAATTCTGAACACCGACAAGTTAAATGTGATCATCAGGCTTCGTGCAGGATTTGTGATTATACATTATGTCTTAGAGTTCTTAACACCAGCCATAGGCAAGATTCACTGGAGTCATAGAATGCCTCAGAACACAGCTCATCTATGGCTATGATCCATAGCCTGAGGAAAAGACAAATAGACTGACCAAAGGAAATTATATACAGCAGATTCAAATTTTGAGGGTCCTGTTCCACATAGGAAATGCTTCTTCCAACCAAACTGTAGCATGCAAAACACATTTTACTATGCCAACACATTAGAACATACATAGTAATTAAAAGTTGGCCATACAGGACTCATAGTGTCTATCAATTCCAGACTCTCCAAAGCATATATTCAACCTAAGTTAGACTAAAAATCTTCTCCTAAAATTTATAAACAGACTTTTTAAAGGATTGTAGTCTGAGATCTGATATAGGTTTGTTCCTAGAAATACTAAAAATAGTTATTTTTACCTATTTGTTGCCTGATGTTTTGGGAAGCAGATGTTAAGATGAAGGTAACAGCTCAAACATCATCAAAAGTCTCCCAAACAAACAAACAAACAAACAAAACCCCCAGACCCAGATGGCTTTAGTTCAGAATTCTACAAGAAATTCAAAGAAAAGCTAATTCCAATACTCCTCAAAGTATTCCACACAATAGAAGCGGGTGGCTCACTGCCAAACTCTTTTTACGAGGCTACAATTACCTTGGTACCCAAGCCACACAAAGACACAACTAAGAAAGAGAACTATAGATCAATTTCCCTCATGAACATCAATGCAAAAATACTCAATAAAATACTAGCAAATCGGATTCAAGAACACATCAGAAAAATCATCCACCATGATCAAGTAGGCTTCATCCTAGGAATGCAGGGATGGTTCAACATTAGAAAATCTATCAATATAATCCACCATATACACAAACTGCAAAAGAAAAACCACATGATCATCTCTCTAGATGCTGAAAAAGCCTCTGAAAAAATCCAGCACCCCTTCAAGATAAAGGTCCTAGAGAGATCAGGGATAACAGGAACATACCTGAACATAATAAAAGCAATATACAGTAAACCAACAGCTAACATCAAACTAAATGGAGAGAAACTCAAAGCAATTCCTCTAAAATCAGGAACAAGACAAGGCTGTCCACTCTCTCCGTATCTCTTCAATATTGTACTTGAAGTTCTAGCTACAGCAATAAGACAACAAAAGGAGATCAA